AATAATAGTTTAAAAAGAATTTTTAATAAAAAATAGGAGTCGCCACTTGGTATTGAGTTAAGGTGTACCAAGTCACCTAAAATGAATTTTAAATAAAAAAAAAAGCAAAAAAACCCTTTTTAAACGACTCCAAGTCCTCGAAAATCAGAGAAATGTGTTCGGGAGTCACATTTGAAGAAAGGGAAGGCAAGGATAAAATCCAAGACACCCTTTCAACCTAACCAAGGCTAGTTGCGTGATCTAGTCAAAAATTTTCTTATTGTAACCTAAAAGTTTATCACATTTGGATGTACTATATGAATGCAAACCCTAGACCTAATGCATCGGGGTCAACATGTATTTTCAAATTTTAATTAGTGCAAATCGCATTAATTGCGATGTCCAAAGTGATTATTTGAAGAAGTCACGAATGTGCAAAATATGAGACTCGAAGGAAAATAAAAGAAAAGGAAAGAAAATAATGATATAGGAAAATACATGACCTAAAGGAATGCATCATAACGGGTGCGGGGAACTAATATTCGTGACTTTTAATTTTCCCTTTGATAGAGGGAATACAAGCGTGCTAAGGCTAGAAAGCCACACTTGTCCATATCCCATATTCAAAGGGTATTTTCTCTAATTTAATCAAGCAAATGTACGAATATACTCCTAAGTTTCCTTAAATGAAATGCAAGTCTAATATCATGTCTCACACATAGGGATAAGGAATATACATATGGGGAAGATGGAATAAGGGATATATATATAAAGGAAAATATGGGATAAGGGATATACGTTATAAGGAGGAAATGTCATGCAAAATGATAAAACCCTAAAAAGTGAAAAATATGCATGAAAATATAGTGATTGTGTCACACAAAAATGGTCTAATGCGCGAACAGTTCCTAAGGGTCTAGCATTAGACTAGTCCATGTCTCTATTTTCTCACTGGCGTTGGACTAGTGAGAAATCGAAAAAAGGAATCATAACAAGCGTTGGACTAGTGTAGAATCGGGAAAGGAGCCACAACTAGCGTTGAACTAGTGTGATGACGTCACACATTGATTATAACTAAATTAGTCATATAAAACATGATAAAGCAAGTAAACACATAGGATCACATAAACACAAAACACATAAACATGATATCTAGATGTAAGATTCTAAGAAAACGAGTAACATATAACACACAAACATGCAAACACATAAAGCAAATTAAGCAAATAAAGCTTTAACTATTACATTTGAGGGGCCCTAACTACAATCTAAAGGGGTAAAGAATGAAATAAATAATAGCCTAACTATTACAATTTTGGCATTTAATTGCCTTCCAAATAATTAAAAATTAAATTAAAATAAATACACAAAATTAACAAATAAAGTGGATAAAGAAATAAATAAAAACATGCAATTTCACACATAGAGTCACACAGGAGCACATAATATCAAGTAAATCAAAATAAAGGAGTAGAATGTACCTCCCTTGAATTGGTGACCAAATGAGATGAAAGATTTTCTTATTTATCCTCCAAAACAAATAAAAAAGGTCAAGGCGTCACTTTAATTAACAAATAATCATATGAAATAAACATGAAATTGAATCACTCAAAGCATCCAAATAAAATAAACAACCTATAGTCAACAAATTAAAACAAACAAGGACCCAATTGAAAGAATTTAAGAAGTTTGAGGGGTCAAGTCATTATTATTACAAATATTAAGGGGTTTAAATTAAAATAAAATAAAATAAAATAAAGAGATTAAGATGAAGCCTACCAAAATCAAATGCTAAACTTCACAAAATGAATGAAAACCCATTTGCTATAGTTAAACAACAAAATCCCGCAAAATTTCTTATTATTTTACTAAGAAACAAATCAAAACTATCAATCTATCAAAAAATTATTAAACCTCTAAATTTTATCCTAAAATTCCTAAACAATCTGTCCAAAAACACATTAAGACATACCAAAGAAAAAAAACCTTTTAAAGGAACAAAATTGATTAAGTTTTCCAATTTTCTGAGCCATATCAAAATAAAGGAAAACTTGAGGGGTTAAAATGCAATTTTTCTTTTGATTTGCATGCAAGCTACGAAGAAGAAGAGTTTCTGCAACTTTTCTTATGCTTTTAAACCTCAGCAACCTCATGCAGCGAGAAAAAACTTTAACAACAACAAGGATCGGCCTCCAAGTTCTCATTACATTTCATAAACTCATCATCAAGACACCATGTTATGCACACAAGAGAGAGGAAAATCTGGAATGAGGAAAAAGCTAGCAATTCTAGGTTCATTCAAGAAAAACTTTCCACCAGTTTCTGGGTTTTCATGCAGCACGGATGGAATCAAGATCCAAGCGAGTATCAAACTTTCAAGCCAAGACAACACCATTGCACGAACCCAAATCACATTCTTTACATCCCCAAGAGTTCTTAGACGCAGATTACAAGCACAAACATGGACCAAAAGTACAACTTTTTAGTTTATCAACTATACAGACTTCATATACACAAGAAGTGAGATGATTACATATGCCGATTACTAAACACAAGAGGTGTTCATGGCTTCTAAATTGGATTCACAGTTTCGGATACTCGTTAAATGAACAAAGGAGCCGACACCAAACCTATCAATAGCGCAACAACATCACAAAGTATAATCACAGTCATTGTCAACCACAGTCATGATCATTTATTCGAAAAAAATGCAGTCTGGACGAAGCCTTTTTGCTGCAAATTCCTGCTGTGAACTTGCAGTTCATCCCACACATGTATTTTCATACAAAAACTCAAACAAAACCCATTATTTCATCAATCTAAAACCGACAAAACTCCAACCCATTTAATTGACATGATCTCAACTATGGTGCACAACTCTGGAAGATCAAACAGAGAAGATTTGGATGAAGAAAACCGCAAAAGAAATTGGCTCTGACTTTTGAAAAAAACAGACCAAACCTGGGGACCAACAAGAAACGACAACTGTGTGGCCATGACATCAAGATCTAACATCTAACCATTTCTAATACTCTTTTAGTAAATCTTTAGCCATTAAAACACAGATCTTTGAATCAAAAGAGATCACAAAAAGGGGAACTAACAGATGAAGTATGCATTAACCGAGAAAACTCATGCGAGGGTTCACCGAACTTCATAGAAAGGGTTGAGTTGGCTAAATCAAGGTGTATTCGTTACCTGCGAGTAGTTGATAGACTGAATCGATGGTGAAGTGATGTGAAGTCAGTGGGCAAACTTCGTAAGTCTGGTGAAGCAAAAAAGTTAAGGTCTCGTCCAAAGCTCCTTCCCAAATTTCCCCAGGTTCCTCTCTAGTTTTTCCCTCTTTTGCTTTGGTTCCCCTGTCCAGAAACCCTCCTTGTTCAGCCGTTCCTCCCTCGCTCAGCCTCTCTCTCTCTCCCTTTCACTCTCCCGGTCTCTTCCTTGTTTCTTTCTTACTCCCTCAGCCGAAAGCTTTTCATACCCAGCTCCTTTCTTTTCCTCCACTACAAGAAATTTGATCTTTTGTAACAACATTCTCAGTGACAACAGAAAAGATTGTCACAGTTGACAAATTTAGTGACAACTTTTGATATTATCATAGTTGACCAAGAGTAGATTCATCATCAGTGACAACACGGGATTAATCGTTACAATATAGGTGGCGACCAACTGGCTGTGTGCCGGGAAATCACTATTGTGACGACTTGAAAAAATGTTGTCATTGAAATGGGCCCTATAGTGACTACTTACAATGTTATCACAATGTGGTTACTGGTTCAAAATTAGTGACAACAATTAGTCATCACTGTCTAAAGTAATTGTTCCTAACTCACTTTCATTAATTCTACTATACCACCCTAATTTTTTCAATATAGCCCCATATGTTGTAAATAAATTTTATTAATTCTATTATGACACCCTATCTTTTACATTTTAGTCCCGTATGTGGTAAACTAATTTCATTAACTCTACCATGATATCTTATCTTTTGCAATTTAGCCTCATGTGTAATAAATCAATTTCATTAATTCTATTATGGTACCCTATCATTTACAATTTAGCATATGTTTTTCATTAGTAAAATGAGGAATGTATTGTAATAAAAATGTATACACAATTTATAATTATTCCAAACTTAGTTAGTAGCTTGTTATGAAGGTAAAATAATATCATGGACTCCCTGCATTGGCAACACATGAAAAATTAGTGATTAGCATAGTATGAAAGTGATGACAAAGAACAGTAAAATTTAATGTGAAATTAAGTAAAATCCTCACAATTGCATGACCAGAGTATATTATTAATTACAATAGTCACATTGTTTATGGTGTATGAATCGGTACTTCTACCAAATACATTTAGTGTTTCATGCATATATTAGCAAACTATTTTAGTTATTTGATCAACTAAAGTGATTAAAAGATTTTTTTGAATCATAAACATATTTTTAATAAGTTTTTTTACTTTTTGAACATTATTTTTCATAGAGATCCAAAAAGATCCTATGTTAGTAAAAAAATATATCTAAAAACACTAAATTTTCATATTCTAAAGTTTTAATACAACAAATAAAGTTTTAATACAACTTGTGAGTTAAAAAAGCTCAAAACAATAAATAATCTTAGGCTTTGTTTGGATAGCAATTTTTCAAAGAAAAATTACTACATTTTCTATGAATATATTTTCCAATCATCTTTTTACCTTATATACATCAAATCGCTATAGAAATTTTTCTACAAAAAATCCAGAAAAATGCAATCCAAACGAGGCCTTAATTACACATAGATTGGGGAAAAAAAAAAGAGATATTAGGGAAGGCATAATTTTTGTAAAAAAAAAAAATGCATCAAATAATTTGGTCTTTTGTGGCTAAAAGCGTTAGTTTTTGTAGTTTGCTAAAATGGAAGCGGGAACTGAAAATTCAAGATGTAGAGAGCGGAAGAAGAAAATAAGACAGAACGACGTCGTTTTGGCAACTCTTAAACAAAAACACTCAAAACACTTGGAAAATTTTTAGACGACACTTCTTTCCCACTGTTGAAAGCTTCGAATAGTATCATCTTCTCCATCTCTTCTTATACTCAACTATCATTGAAATTATCCACCAAATCGCTTTAAATCACCATTTTCGTCCCTAATTTGAGCTGCCCAAAATATTTGGACAGCTTTATTGACCTCACAGAGAGCAAAAATCCCTAGATTAATGCAAACTTGCTCACTAGCACGAACACGGAAAATTGGCCTTGAATTTTGGGAGAAAGCTAGAGTTCGAAGATTAAATGTTGAGGAAAACAAGAGCTAGGGGAGTGAAGGCATAATTTGAGGTAAATAATCTCAATATTTTCGATATTTTTTGTCAAATACAGGTAGGGTAGACTGAATCTTGAATTTGTGGTCCCAATTTTCCACTTAAATCTTTCAATGGTGAGAGATTGAGAGAGTTGTGAGAGTGAAACGAAGTGAAAGAGAGGGTCTCCAGCTATTATCCCCTCTTCTTTCTTGAGTCATGCATTCTTGTTGAGGCCCAACTCAAACCCTTTTTTCTTTTAAAACTTCCAACTCAGTTTGTAAAGTCCACGTTAAACAATTCTTTGTGGAATTTTATGTCAACCCACTTGGCCGAAGTCCACTTTAAGCACTTCCATGCTATTAAGAGATGGTACTCGTGAAATGGTGAAAACTCGGTTGATTTGGGTGACTCGTGAAATGGTGAATGTGTTGGGAGCAGGATTTGATGGTTTATTGGTGGCACTTTTGGAGCAAATTGTTGGTGGTGATTTTAGCTGAGGAAATTTGTGGCTATATTTTGTTTTTGGTTAGTCTCTTTTAGGACAAATAGGATTGCTTATTGGAGGATGAACCTCTAGTTTTGACCGGTGCTTTTTGGAATTTCGAAAGGCAGAAACAGGGGAGATGCTTGCACCCATTGCTGTTTCACTGTTGATTTGAATGAACCTTGAGCAAAGTAGATTGTAGCAACCCGTGGCCTGATATGCATCACTCTGCAAATTTGAAGTCAGGGGATGCATAAGAAGCCATTATTGTCACTCATCAGCTGATAGTAAATGAAACTCATTTGAAAAGAACAAATCTTTGAGCAACTTATAGTCCTATAGGTAAAAAGCCTTGTGTTGTTGTCATCATAAAGGTCCGGGCTTACCTGTTAGAAATCACATGCACCTTTCAATTAGGCTAAAATAGTGCAAAACGAATATTAAAAGTATCTTGATGTTTTACATCAATATCACCACACAAGCATTTCCTTAGTAGCACGTGTCATGTAGAAATTGAAATAGTTTTAGTAAAAAATATCATATTTGCCAGCCCACTTCAATGCTGTTAAGATCTTTACTAAAAGAACCACCCAATATCCATAGTTGAGACAAGCTGAACTAGAGGTTCATTTTTTGGCTGATCATTGTAGGCTTTTCTTTGTTTCTCCTTTATATAACACTACTGTTGTACATTTGAGAGGGTTCCTCAAATTACAGATAAAGCTTTCTATACCTAAATTTCTGCTAAAAGTGTTCCTTGTCAGTCTTGGTTCTTAGGTGTCAATTGTTTAGATGTTGAGCAACTTTGCATGCTTTGTTTAAGCCGTTTAGCGCTTTTTTTGTTGGTACTCTCTTTTCCTTTCATTTCATCAGCTGCTTTGCTTTCATTTCAGTGATATAGTTTGCACGTTGTGCATGTATTAAAGTATATATACTTTCTCTATTTCGCTGCTCTAATTTCCAATTGTTGTGTGCCAAGTTTGAAGACTATTGGTAAGTTGCTCTCTTATTTATTCTTTATTGTTGTTTCCTTTGCATTTGTCTATTCATTGTTTTCATTTGGCTGCCCATTCCTTTGCTGACATTTGTGTGTCAGTTATTGGATACATGGAGCTAGTTTTGTATGAAAAATTTTGGTTGCGTGTTATGGTCTCCTGTAACTGCTTGTTTTTATGAAATTGTGTTGTCTTTAGTGTGTGTCTATGGAGTTGCATGTTAGAGCAACACGAAAGTATGGGTGATTAGCTCAGGGCCTTAGTAACAGCGAATAAATTGGTGTACTTATAGCAGATATTTAGTTGTACAAATCTTCAACCCAATTTCATACATTAACGGTTTTCCACTCTTGATGGTTATGCCCTCCTTGGATATTACCATTATCTAATAATCTAGTAATTTGGTAATGCCAGAATAAAAAGTATTACTCCACAACATGCCCACTGTTTAGCAGTGTGAAAAGAATCCAATCCATGGCCACTGCAAGATACAATAGATTGGTCTGGTTTTTATTTACTACTTGTATTTTATACACACACATAACAGATGAAGGTGGCACTTGCATTAAATTTGGTTTAGTGATAAGACTTGGCTACAAATCGAATGAAATTCACTGCTGCAGAACAAATATACAGTAAAGCTTAGGTCCCCCAAAGGCCAAACCGATGAGATTTGTAACAAAGCCCACTCTTACCACGAGAGAAAGAAAGCAGAACCTTGGTTCGCACTGCACAATGTGGTAAGTTTTGACCTTATTAAATTCAATTATGCATTTTTCTTCTTGTGGCATTTTTTGCTTGGAGATGCATAAGTATCTTGTTGCATATTTCGTTAGGAGATGATAAGCATAGTTCAGGAACGAATAATTGGCTAATGTTTGGCAATTGAGGAATATGTATTGAAATGCTCATGACTAATTAAGTAGAATTGATTGGTTTGGAAACCGTTCTTTTCTTAATGAAGTTCGGTGAGTTCATGATGCCTCCTTAAAGCATGTCATTCTTAGGCTCTCACTCCAAGTCAAAGTATGCATTCTTAATTTTTTTAGCTTTCTAGCTCTTTGGATTATTTCTTCTCCCAGAATATTTTAAAGCCTTTTTAGTGGATGCCAAACCTTAACTATTTTCATCTCTCATTAGTCAGTGGGCTGATGATAATTATCCTATTCCTGAGAAAGTTGTTTCTTGGGATTAGGATAAGTCATAAGTAAACAAGCTAATTATATCAGGTAATCAGCTTGTAGGGCTCTTCCTTTTTGACCCTCTAATTCTTCCCCCTCAACTTCTTCATGATCCCACAGTTCTTGCTCTTGCTGAGGCCTTCGGGAAGTTCAATGAAGTTTTTTCTCCTCGTCTGTCTCCAAATCTACTTTTTACTGCTTGATAATGTCCCCAATTAGTGCAAGATTTGCTATAGGTTCTGCAGATTGCAGCACTTAATTGAGATTGAAACTTTTTGTATAATTTGCTTTGTCTTGATTGGAGGAGGACAAAACAATTAATGTTCTTAAGAATTACTGAGTTGATTAACTAATTTTGACGAAAGACGTGCACTGTTGTACGTGGTATAGATCATTTCCCAGTTTGTCATGTTTCAAGGCTCTTAGTATTTCAGGTCACATTTGCTCTAGTTGATGATTCTTAGCAATTTTACATTCATGTAACTATTAACTCGCTCGGATGCTTATCAACTTAACTGTGCCTTCAAAACGTTAACGTTCCATTGACTTTTGCAGCAACTGCAGTTATTCTATTCTTTTCCAATGTTCAAGTAACCCTCATATGCGCTCTTAGCGTAAGTTATGCAGGTAAGGCATTAGTTCTTCTGCTTAGTGATTTTTGTACTCAAACTGCTTTTTCCTTTTATGAAACAGAACTTTGTAGGGACTCCAACATCTGATCCCCTCCTTAATATTATTGCAGTCTTGGTTTTGCATGCTTCGTTCAGAAAACAATCTACGCGAAGTGACAGAAACAGGAGGAGCAGTAAAAGATGAGGAGAAACAATGAAGTGTTGAAGATTACTGTCAGTACATTGTAGCTGGCCAGACTGCCCAGACCATATCTGCTTGCTGAACCTATTAGCTATATGTCCTGCAGATACTAGTGTCCAATTTTATCAAATCACAAACTAGGTTCGATTCATCTGTTCTTTTCTACCTCTCTCTTCTCACGGGTACTCAGTTATCGACTAGTTTATATTTTGGGAAGGATATGTATTGGCCATTACTAGAACTGATTATGTGGGATTTGGGACCCAACATTTGTGATTCACTTTTGTTTTGATTAATTTATAGATGTGTTATGCCCAAATATATGAATTTGCGGCATATATTCTACATTGATTTTGCCTTTTGTCAAATTGAATGTTCTACTAAAATTGTTGCAAATGCCAAGACAATGCTATATTTGTAATGAACAATTGTAGCTGACAAAATTGTAAGTTCGCTAAGTGACGACTATTCTTGTCACTGAATACAAGGAATGATAGTGACAAGTTCAAGTCATCACTGTAGAGTTCAAATTTGTGACGACTTTTGCTATGTTTTATGACAAAAAAATAAGTGAAATAGTGACAAGAAAATTCGTCACAAAATGATAACCATTAGTGACGATTTAGTCTTCGTCATTAAATAACAAGATTTAGTGACAACTTTAAAAGGGTTGTTACACGTGCCCATTTGTGACATAGAATTAGTGATAACCATGTGACAATGGAAAAAGTCGTCATTATACTCATATAATGACGACTTTTTTATTTTTAGTGATGACTTTTTATTATCAAAAAAGGCCAAATTTCTTGTAGTGCTCTCTCTAGCTCTCTTGTTACTCCATCTTTTTCCTCAGCCTGTAGCTACCTCTCTTCCTTTTTCTTTGCTTGGTTTCACACAACTTCCCACGGTTCTCTTTCTTTCCTTTCTTCCCTCAGTTTTTTGTTTTCCTCCCTTCCTTGGTTCTTTCCCGTAGCCCTAGCTCTTCCTTCTCAGCCATCAAACTCCTTCCTTTCTTCTTTTTTCCTACTGGTTTCCTCCCTCCTTTGTTCAGCTGTCCGAGATTTTCTTCCTTGCTTCACTCTTACCCCTCTCCTGTCTCTCAGTTTTTCCCTCTGGTTTCTTGTCGTCGCCCCTTTCTTTCCTGTTTCCTTTGCCTTTTGCTTCCCTCCAACTCACCTTCTGTTTTCCTTCACCCTTTCTTCACTCAGCCGAAGACTCTCCACCCAAGCTCTCTTAGGTTTTCTCTCTACATATCTCAGTTTTCTCAGCCCCGGCAAACCCTAGCCGCCAACCCTTTTCTTTTGTATTTTCTTTTTGTTGTTTTTTTTTCTTCCAAATTATCCTAGGCCTCCAAGTGTCCCAAACACCTCACCTTCTAGGTGTTGTGTTGTCAAAGAAATAAAGGGACACTTGTCCCTATTGTGTGATAGCCCCACCTCCCACTAAGGCGAACCAGAGGGTTCGGTGGGCCGCCTGCCCAACTCTCGCCGGAACTCAGTCGTTCACTACAATGCTCAAATGAATTACAAGAATAAACCTCAAATATTACAGTATAAATCTCCAATATACATCAAATTCTCCAAAAATTACATGTCATAAGCGAAGCGGAAACAATTCTCAACTATACATAAAATGATTCCAAATAAGCCATCCAGTCACGTGAAGAAGCACTACATGTCCTTCCTTCGCTTTGAGTCCTGTGGAGGGGAATAAAATATTTTTGGGGTGAACTAGAAACTCAGCGAGTAACCGGTAAAATCAGTAATCAAATCGGTTTGACAATAGTTCATTTCAATGATGTCACAAATCAATGATGGAGTATCAATAATTCAAGAAACATTTACAATGGAAAGCGATAGTAACATTCATTAAAAGGATACGGTCCACATGGAGCTATTCATTTGTTCGTTCGTTCCCCTGACATTTCCACTTATTCCTCCAATTGTTTAAAAATACATTTTTGTAAGTAGAATCCCTCATTCATCCTTTTGTTCGTTCATCCCTTTTCCGGACGTTGACCAGACTCCACCCATCCGGACGTAGCCGGACTACAAAGGTAATACTCGAGTATAACAAATTCACCCAGGGTCACCATATCGCCTGACCGAGTCCGCTTCTGGATCAAGTTGATCGGTAACGAAGGGCAGGGCCCAATTCAGCCAAACGGCTTACATTCATGCGCAACTAGCATTTAATCATTAATCATGAAAATTTCACATTTATTTAGGTCGAGTGCGATAAAGTATACACTCGCCCAGAAAACTCGTTTTAACAATCATTGAAAGCACTTAACACATTATCAATCCATAATAATAAGCCAATAAGTCAAGGAAATATCAAACAAGGAACACTCTCATATAAGCAAGCATGATATGCAAGAAAACAGTGCAAAAGTAACTTTGGAAACAGTTCAAAAGTAAATAATGCAAGAAACGTTTCACAAGTACTTTGGAAATAGTTTAGGGTCACTCACCTCCACGGCTCAGAAATCATCCAGCATATAACATTGCCTTGCTCAAATCCAAGTCTTAGATCACAAACTCAATGCAAACAAATCCCTTCAAAGTTCGGACAGCACTTCCCCTGAATTTGTTAACTTTTCCAGCCATCATGGCTTCATTATTTCCTCAGCCAGTCCCAAAGGTACACACACAACAACAAGTTCATCCAATAGCCATTCAGCAAGCTCTAAGTAGTACTAGTACAAGTCAAGCTAGGGAAAAGTCCAGAAATGAAAGTTAAGCTCAAAACCAGAAAAACAGTTTTGACGTCATTTTGCGGTAATGGTACCAAAGGCGCTACGATTGTCGGATGAAGGTGAAAGATACACCGTTTCGAAGCTAAGAGATAGGGCTACAATATTACAGAAGGTCACTCAACCCAGTTTCGAGTGTAACTAGATCAAAAATGCAAGATACTATACTAGAATCACAAAAATAGATTCACAGAACGCATTCTAGCGGAAACATCATAACTCAGGCTCTCCAAGTCCAAATCCAGAAATTCCAAAACCAGATAAAAGCTAAGAAACAGGGATAAATTTCATCAGAAGGCCTCAACAACCAATTCGGAAGCAATTCCAGCCAAAACAACCAATTACAGGCGCAATTCTTACATTCGGGTAAAACCAGAACAGCAATAGTAATTTCGACTTTTCTCATTCTACACTACTCCTATTGACTTGAAATTTTGTAGGCACCTCTAAAATGTAATTCCCTACAACTTTCATGTTTTAAGCCAAGGCCAATTCGGCCTCTATCTATGAGCTATAAATTCGGGCAGAATGTAAACATTAGAACCCTAATTTTTCCAGATTTCTTCCAAAACAGAAATTGCTTGCAATTTACCACTTTTTCCACCTTCTAGCTTCCTTAAATATCATTTCCAATCATCATACATGACCACATAATCATATCCATATGAAAACAGAAAAATCCCCAATAATTATAAAACTTCACCAATTCAACCAAAATCAAGATATAATCCATAAAATTGCATCTTATACCACCACCAATCATGAATTGAACATCATTAGAGGAAGGAGAGGGGTCCTTCACAACTCACCTTAGCAATACAAGAGATAGAGCAACTAGTCACCTTAACTTCCCAAACAACTTCACAACCAAGCTCAACTCCACCAAACTAAGAGGTTTTATGGAGTAATTGGAAGATTAATCGGTTTAATTGAAAGATTGGGCAAGATTGGAGACTAGAAAATTGAGAGCTTTTCTTTCTTTCTTTAAGGAAGAAAGTCGGCCGAGGTAAGAAATGAAGATGATTTTGGCCAATTTTTGGTATTTATTTGGTAAAGGTAAAGGTAAAGTTCAAAGGTCAAAGTCAAGAGTAAATTAGATGGTGACACTTGTCACCTTTAGGTTTAAAACTTATCTTTTTGTCTCTCCAATACAAATATCTTAACACTTTGTAAAATAATATCACTTAATACAAAATTTCAACAAGTTGTCAAAAATATAATGCATTTACCGCACTTGCGGGTCCCACGTCCAAAATACGCTCTTAATTTCTCAAAAACTAACCGATACTAGAAAAATCATTTTAAAACTATCTTTGCTCATAAACTTTATCTGGGGAATTTTTCTAATAAAGAAAATGTAGAAAAGGCGGGCGATTAAATAAAATAAACCCTAAAAAATTTCTTTCGGGGCGTCACATATTGCATGTGCCCCACTTGGCTACTATCCCCCTAATACACTTGTCTTCTTATTTTATTTATTTATTATGTTTTCCAAAGACAATTTAAGTAATAAAAAAAACATTAATTCCTCATTGCTCAATTTTATTTATCTTAAAAAATGAATTAAAAAGGTTTAAAGACAAATTTTTTAATTTTTGTGAGAAATTTTCCTTTTTTAGAAATTTAATGCAAAAATATCTTAAAAATAAAAATTGTGAACCTAATTTATAAAAATAAGAAAAAATACATACTAATTATCATTTAATCAATACAATAAAACAAAAATAAAAATAAAAATAGAACTAACATTGAATTAAATAAATGAAATTTTTGGTGTCTACAGCTGATCATCCAGCCTTCTTGAGCAAAGATTTTCTTCGTCAATTTGGTGTCATTCACCAAGCCGTTGATTGCTGCATACTGTCCGATGTCAGGAGAGCAATTCTTATTCAAAAATCCCGGAGAAAAAACATCAGGAAAACCATCAAATTTGACCCTGAATTGGCTAATCCCGTTTCCCTGTTACATGTCAAAAGCTACAACAAATCAACTCCAACAACTCTTCCGTGTGCTTTCCTGTTTGGATTTCGATTCGAAAAAAAGCTTCCTCAGGTATCATTCCAAAATAATGTCCCAACTCATTTCACTTTTATTTGCTTTCTTGTTCCTGGGCCTTGTTTTTTTTTAGTTTTCTTGCTATTTTTCTTTTTTCGTAACCTGCAATCTGTCCATTTGTTTTGCAATCTATCTTGTCAGAACTCATTTGCATGATATTGGGATGGATTTTGTCTGTAATTTGGGTATATAAGTCACAGGCATTTGGGCTTGAACTCTTGAGAAAATGGCCGCAAAGTTGAGGTAGAAAAATTGCAGCAAAAAGAAACCCAACGAAGAAGATGAAGTCTTCGACTAGGCTTCATGAACATTTCCAAAAATTTCACTTTAACCCCTAGTTTTCTAAGTAATTCTGTTGTGGCCCAGAAAATTGAAAATATCAATCAATCTTGTCCCTTTAAAATGTTATTTTTCTTTGGTATTTTTTAATGTGATTTTTGGACAGATTATTTGTGAATTTTAGGATGAAATTTGAGGGTTAATAATTTTTGATAGATTTATAGTTTTTT